AAAAATTTTTTTAAATTTATATGGACCTTTCCTGTATAAAAATTTATTTGATTAATGGGCAAAAAGTACAAAAACTTCACCCCCTACTTTAAAACTTCCCTCTGATTTTTGGAATAAAAATTTTTTTTGTACGGGTCCATTGACAAGTTAGGTTTTTCAAAAACTGTGTCAGGGGTTCCCCTGAAGTTTGGATCTAAGGTAAAGGAAAAAAACTGGTAAGACTAAACCCCTCAGATTTACCCCTATTAGCCATAAGTCATGAAGGATGGACATGGACCTTGGCCTGTCAACCATAGAGAATTTAAAAAGGTAAAAAACCCCAAAGAATCACTGGGAATTTCCCCTCAGGGCAAACAAAGCAAGGGTAGGTAACGATGCACTCCTTAGTTTAAGGGAGCAAATTTTCCCTTAAAAATGGATTAGAATCGAATGCTGGGCTAAACCCTCCCTTTCAGCTGGGATGATGGGGTGTGGTGAAGAGAGGCTTCACTCCCAAAAAGTTGGTAGAGAGTTGCATTACTAGATGTGAATTTGTCCACGGTCAGACAAAATTTCTCTGGTTTCCCCACTTGGAAAAGGGGGAAAAAAGGCTTCAGCCACCTCTGTTGTAGTTTGGTCTTTAAGGAAACGGTTCGGAAAAAACTCGAAGCTAATAACTAAGTTAATATTTATCTATGCCCCCCCAGATGAAAGTGGAAAAATTAAAGGACAACGATATCAATAGTACCTTCAAAAGGTCCCGTAAAGCTGGCATTTTGACCTGGTACTCCCCTGATCCCTGGGGGGACTTTTTTGGCCAAAAATAGGTTTCCCTATTTTATTTAAGGTTTTTACGATGCGGAAATGTAGGGCCCACTGGAGGTCATGACCCTTTTTAAGAACAGTCTCTCTGATTGACTTGGAAAAACAAAGAGGAAATAGTCTGTCTCTTCTGAATTTAATTTGAATATGTTGTACAAGATACCTTTTATATATTTAAATTTATATGAAAAGTTTTTCCTTTGGATCCCCTTGTTTTTTGTTTAGCGGCATTATGGAAATTCTGAAGGAAGGGCAATTCGTTGTAAAATTGACAAAGGTCCTTCGTATATTAAAGGCTTAAAGTCAGGGAAAAATCAAAGGGGGGACAGTAGGAGAAGCCTGGGCTTTGGTCTGACCCCTGTCAAGACATTTATGGTATCGGAGATGATATTTCATTTTCATCTAACAAGTGAACGGTGACCCTTCTTCCTCGCTTTCGAGAGAAGCACCCTGGTTTTTAATCCCCATGAATCTCGCGAGACATTGTCTCACCTGAACTTTCGAGGGGCTTCTCTGACTCTACGGGAAAGGGGATCGAAACACTTATGTCCATTTTTGGTGATGAAAGGTAAACCTCAAAGGGAAGAATGGCACCTTTTCATTCCTTTGACGGGCAAGAAGTGATGGGAGCTAGTACGGCTTCAGCCCAACCCTGTGAACCTTTTTAGACCTAATGTAACAACGGATGGTAGGAAAAGTGTCTTACGGCCAAGTAGCTAAAAGTATAGCAGAGGAATGAGTTTCTTTAGATTAGGGAACAGTTATAGAAAATGACTATCATGTGCATCCATGTCTCGAAAAATGGTAGATACAAAAATCCATTAACTTTTCCTAAAACAAAAGGGGGTGTTGGTCATTACGTCTTTAAAACACTTCAAACTTTTTGGCCTTCTTAGAAGGACAATCGGGCGTTTACCCCTTAACACCCACAAATGACAAAAGGAATAAAAAAAGCCTTTTTATTTCCCCACTAGGGGCTTTGTTTTTCAAAGGTTGATAAACCCCTTCCCTTAGGGTTCGACCCCTTTGGTTTATAGGAATTGTGAGCTCGCATACGGGTTTAGCCCCCCTCAAAAATTCCCTCCTTTTAATCGGTTACGTTCTCGATGAATGTTCGTATCGGGTGGGGAAGAGCTGTCAGGAACTTTAGCAACCATGAGTTCCCAAGAGATTCATAACTGTGATCAATTCCTGAACCTCTTTCCAAAAATCGAGCAAACGAGTGTTACCTGTAACTGCTGAAAATTTGGCCAGGCTGTAAGGTGGTACCTGAAATCTTTCCAGTAAGAATTAGTGGTTTTTTTATATGCTTTTGGGTGCCTTTTCAGTAGGATAAATTACATGATATCCTGGACAAAGTTGCATAGAATTCAAAACGGTACCGAAAAAAAAACATTCCCAACCGGTGCCCGGGGTCACCAGGCCTTTTCAGAGGGTAGCGGTATTTTAAAACCCGTAATGTAAAAAAGTTATGTCTTCGCCCCTGTGAAAAGGGAGGTAAATTAGGGTTGGAAAATGTGCACTAGCTGCACGTTTTTCCTTACTCCCTTTAACTAAATTTTGTTTTGGAAAAAATTAAATTTTTTTTCCTAAAAACAAGGGAGTTTGTTCGAGTCGCGTTTTTCTTTCTCTTAAAAACATATTCTTGTCCTTTGCCTTTCCCCAAATTCCCTTTAATTTTTAAACCCGTTCCTAGTATCTTAGCTCTCTCCTCACGATCAAGTCTATCACGTCCTTTTTGCTTTCTTTCGATTTCTCTCTCTCTTTTTCTTTCTCTTTCGATTTCCCCTCTCTTTATTTTTTCCTTTCTTTCCCTTTCTGTCTTTTTCTTCTCATTCTCTTCTTTAAGTTTTCCCGGTCTTGCCCCTAATGAAAGATTCTAAATTTTTCCCTGTTATTCCTAACTTACTTCCAGCATTCATCCAAAACTGGTATTCATCCTACTCGCAAGAATAACTTAAAATTAGGGGGAAAAGAAAGGGTATTAAAAAAAACGGGGGTTCAATTTTGTCCGCTCAAAATTAAATAAACAGAGGGTCGATCCCCGCTTCAATTAAAAAAAAAATGAAATTTAAAGAAACGAAGGGTTCTATGCCCGGCTCCGAGAAACAGTAAGTAGAATGGGGTCACTTGACCTCCCAAACTTCTCACCAACAAATCAAGAGTGTCCTATGAAGTTCCCTTGATAAATGAAGAGACATTGAAACAAGTTGTCATGGAAAAAACTCGGGGGCCCTAGAGTCTAATCCTCCAAAGTGTTTCAAGTCAATCAATTAGGGGCAGAAATTTAAATATTAATCCCGCCCGACTTTATTCAATAAAATTTAGACTATAACAATCACCAAATTTTTAAATACTGTACTGTAGTCCTACCATAGAGAATGATTATCTGGGTGGTGGTAACCGTCTGTGGTATGCGGCATTTAAGTTCCAAGGTAGATTTGAGGGTGGAGTTGGGGTCTTGATTCAGTGAGTTGATCGGCAAGGTCGCCCCTTGTGAAGCTTTTCAGCCTGTAAAAACTTTTGACGTATTACTCAGGGGGCTTCCCGGAAAATTTAAAGAAAAAAAAAAGAAATAAAAATTCACAAGATTTAAAAATATTTATTAAATCAAACATAAAAAACAAAACATGAAAGGTATATCCTTTTTAAAGAAAAAAAAAAAAAATGAAATGAATAAAAAACTTTTTACTAACGCTAAAATCTTCAAGGGTGTTGGTGTTAGTGCATGTTGTTGAAACCCTAGCATTGTGATGATAAAGGGGGTGGGAGGTGCAGGGGGTTGGTGACCATCCCCTGGCTAGTTCTTTACAGGAAACGCCCTGGTTTTTTATCAAAATGCAGGAAAGCAGGTTCTTAGCTGCAATGTGTGGAGTTCGTCCTGCCTTTATAAGGGGGAGAGGAGTTCAATACAAAATGGGAAGTCTCTGGGGCTTAGTTTTTTCTCCCTTTTTGCTCGTTTATTGCCAGGTGACCCCTCTGACTCCAAGCTGGAAAAACGACAGGTTACCATGCTTAAAAAATCACTCTCCATGGGAAATTGATACTTAAAAGATGTGGGGGGTTATTACAAAGTAAATGAGCAAGGCGGGAAAAACTAAGTTTATTACTGATCAAAGTGAAACTTTTTAACCCTTAAAACCCCTAATACAAAGGGAGGGATGTACTTTCGTAGTGTTTGGGAGCTGTGAGTCGAGTGATTTTGTTTACCAGGCCCCACACGTCACCCTTTTTGGGGGGGGGGGGGAGGTGGAGGAGGGAGGGGAAGGGAAGCGGGAGCTAGACTGACCCTACGTTAACAAGCAGCGGCAATCAAAAAAAATCATTTAGGGGTGGGGGGAGGGAAAAAGGTGGGAAAAAAGGGAGCGTGACTTTCCCTACCCCTTTAAAGTAGCCGGCAGACAAACTATCAATTTGGGGTTGGGGGGGAAAAGGCGGGAATTGGGAGCTAGTGACCCTCCTTACCCAGTAGCCGGGAATGAAAAATTTGTTTCGTTTATTCCCTCTCTATCTATCTATTAAATTTTCCCCCACCAGCTGACTCATTGACATAAGCATCAGCCCAAAACTTATGCTGACAATTATTTCAGATAAAATTTATAGTCCCTGTAAAAATTAATTAAAGGGAACAAAATTTGCTTTATTGTTAAGGTACCCCCCAGGGTGCATGAATAATGCAGTCCAAGGATCTGACATCAACGGTGTTTCTGCTGTGACTTGAAGGTGTACGAATGATATGAAAGTAATACATAAAGCAACAGAAGTACATAGCAATACAGGTAACCTCTTCTCTCTCTCTATCTATCTCTGTCTCTCTCTCTCTCTTTTTCTCTCTCTCTCTCTCTGTCTCTGTTTTTCTCTGTCTTCTCTGTCTCTCTCTGTCTCTCTCTGTCTCTGTCTCTCTGCTCTCTCTCTCTCTGTCTCTTCTCTCTCTCTCTCTCTCCTCACTCTCTCTCTCTCTCTCTCTCTCTTCTCTCTCTCCTTCTCTCTCTTCTCTCTCTCTCCTTCTCTCTTCCTCTCTCTTGTCTCTTCTCTCTCTCTCCTCTTGTCTCTTTCTCTCTCTCTCTCTCTTCCTCTCTCTCCTCTCTCTCTCTCTCTCTCTCTTCTCTCTTCTCTTCTCTCTCTCTCTCTCTCTATTTATGAAAAATCGGGTCAAATTTAGGATTTAAACAGAAAAATTTTGGGGGTGTGAGTTTCAGAGGATTTCCCCCGGTGTCCTTCCCAGAGCTCCTGGAGAATGATTGGGCACTCCTGGCATTCCCACAGCAGCTGGAGGTTATGGGCTTGGTTCTGATCTCCCAGACTCCTGCCCAGACCAAGCAGTGTCATTTACTGTCCCAGCGAGTTGCTTACTGCAGCAGAACCTACTATGGGTGAGTGACACTAACAACCTACTCATAAAATTGCAGTAACGAGACTGCAAACACATCTTAGCCACATGTCCATTCCAGCTTAACAATATTCATCCAACTTGGTATATTTCCATACAACTGTAATCAAAGTCTCTTGCTTTCAGGGTGAAGGATGATTGATCTTTCACTTCCGAAGTACAATATGACCCTTGCGGCTTTAGCACTGCCCTGTGATTTGAAAAATGAAACCTTGATATTTTCTTCCAGAGAGACGTTCAAGGTTCACAACAAAACTGATCCAAACAACTTAGCCTATACTCAGTATAGCCTCGGCCTGCACACTGATCTACCATGCCTGAGCTACAAGCCTGGTGTAAGTGTGTTTTCCCAGCTACACTCCTGGTGTAAGTGCTTTCCCAGCTACACTCCTGGTGTAAGAGTTTCCCCTGCTACACTCCTGATGAAAGTGTTTTCCTAGCAACACTCCTGGTGTAAGTGTTTTCCCCGCTACACTCCTGATGAAAGTGTTTTTCCAGCTACACTTCTGGATTTCCCAGCTACACTTCTGGATTTCCCAGCTACAAGCCTGGTGTGAGAGTTACTCAACTACACTCTTGGTGTAAGTGTTTTCCCAGCTACAAACCTGGTGTGTTTTCAAATCAACAGCCTGGTGTAAATGTGTTTTCCCAGTTACATACCTGGTGCAAATGTGTTTTCCTGGCTAAAAACCTGGTGTTAGTGTTTTCCCAGCCACAAGCCTGGTGTAAGTGTTTTCTCAGCAACAACCTTCGTGTAGCTGTGTTTTCCTGGCTACAAGCCCGGAGAAAGTGGGGTTTCCTAGCTACAAACCTAATGTTAGTGTTCTCGCAACTACAAGCCTTGTGTTAGTATTTTCCCAGCTACAAGCCAGGCATAAAGGTGGTTTTCCAGCTACAAGCCTAATGTTAGTATTTTCCCAGCCACAAGCCTAGTGTAAATGTGTTTTCCAAGCCACAAGCCTGGTGTAAGTGTTTTCCCAGCTACAAGCCTAGCGTAAATGTGTTTTCCCAGTTACAAGCCTGGTGTTTGTGGAAAATACTGTATATTTTCCGAAAATACAGTGTATTTTGTACGTAAGTTAGCGAAATGTATTGTAGTTAATAAAAATTAATTTGTAAATAAAAAAGGAACCAGTGACGGTGTTAGCGTCGCTTGGAAAGGCCATTGTTTTGAACGGGGCAAGAGAAACGTTAGTGAAAATCGAAAGAATTTTCGTTGCTCTAGAGGCTAAATTGTGTTTAAAACCTCTCAAATAGAAGCAGAAATTGTTGAATTTGCAGTGTTGCAGAACGTGAGAAACAAGCAACTGGACGGGACTCCGTAATTAGATGGGAAAAGGGATAATGAGTGCACCATACCCCAGTTAAGTCTTGTCTATATTTATGTTGAAATTTCTGGCCAGTATTTCTCTTCATATTTTAGGCAGGGGTTTGCGCATGACACACCAAGTAATCTCCAGATAAATTGGTGAGTGTTATTGTTATAAATTCTCCTTCAATGTATATATTCATTAACCCATTCAGGGTCGGCAGGGCCTCTCCTAAACTTGCTCTCGGGGTCGGAAATTTTTCGAAAAAAAACTATTTTTTATTAGGAAATGATAGAGAATCTTTTCCCGATCATAATGACACCAAAAGTATGAAATTTCATGGAAAACTTATGGAGTTATGCTCTCGCAAAGTTAGCGGTCTTGACGATGTTTACACATCGGTGATTTCGCCCACTTTGAGCCCAATTTTTGGTCAATTCCAATGTGACAGTTGACAAAAATCATACCTATTTCGCTAGAACTCCAGTTTTTCTATTGAATGAGTACAAGAAACCACCCATTTACCGATTTCTACTATCCAATAACGTGGTCAGAAATTAGCAATTTTGCCAATTTCACACAAATTTCAAAAGATGCCAATTTCCAAATAGGGCTCAGAATAAACAAGACAGGCATTTCTGGCGCTAAAATAACATTTCCTCTGTTCATTACTCATGTTCCCAGGCCTCTGTTACATTTCTTTTGCTTTCCACTTTGAATTTTATTCTCACAAAAAATAGAAGATTTATGTTATGCAGACTACTGCGTTCGTGTAGAAATCGTGCAGAAATGGTGTAAATAATATCAGGGCACTTGTGAAAGAATATTACACTGACCAGTTGACGTGTATTGGACACGTGGCATGATTTGCTTACCTTTGAACTTTGGCAAAACTCGAAATTTATCCTACTTTGAGCTCAATTTCAAGGTACTTTTCATTGTGATCTAAAATTATCTGGTTTTCTCTCAGTTTAAAGGGCTCAATTTTATGATACTGTTTATCTAACTGTCAGTTTGGGCAATGAGAAAAATGTATTAATGCAGTAATTGTAGATAGGCTCACAGAGAAAATATCTACAATAGGGGTTAGTAAAGCTACAGAAAGACTTTCACATAATGTAAACTTAGCACCTTCTGGTGTAAATGATGATTCTGTAGGTCCAATAAATATTTTGATAGGTAGTGACTATTATACCTCCTTTGTAAAAGGTATGGTAAAGAAATGTGGTGTCACCCTTTTAAAGACTGCAGGAGTTAATTGACAGAATTGTTGACTGCCTATAATGATATAATTACTGAACAGTTAAATAATAAATTTATAGAGGAGGTACCTCCTGAGCAAGTCAAAATTTATGGTCGCTATTTGCCACATCACAGAGTGAAGAAGGATTCTAAGACCACTCCTCTGAGGATTGTGTTTAATTGTAGTGCCAGGAATAACAAAAATGTACTTAGTTTAAATGACTGTTTGATGACAGGTCCGTCGTTGAGGGAAAAATTAGGAGATGTCTTATTAAATTTCAGGGTGAAGAATTATGCCTTTATGGCTGACATAGGTGAAGCTTTCCTAAGAGTGGGTTTACAAGAGGTTGACCGGAATTGTACCCGCTTCTTATGGCCTAAGAATCCTAGTGACCCACTTAGCCCAATGAAAACCTTTTGTTTTTAGGAGCCGTATTATTTGGTGCTAAAATCCGTCCGTTCCTACTTCAAGCATGATAAATGCCACACCTTTTAAACTTTATGGGAAGTCCATTGAGTAAAGTAATGAGTAAACAATTTATGTGGACAATTTCCTGGGTGTGACGTCAACTGAAGAGGAACTGTTGATGACATATGGAGAGGCTAATAAAATAATACAAAGTGCAAATATGCCTCTGAGGGAGTGGAATAGTAATTCGTTCAAATTAAAGGACAAAATCAGTAACGATTACCCTGGAGATGAAGTACCAAAATGTAGTAATGAATTGACATTAACTTGGGATACTGAGAGAGATTTGTTAATGTTAAAAACCTAATAATTACAGTGTGCCCAATAATTTAACTAAGAGAGTCTTGCTTGCTGAAGTTTCCAAATGGTTTGATCCACTAGTGTCACCCCTTACTATAAGAGGGAAATTGTTAACACAAGAAGCATGTTGGAGTTCCTATGCCAGGTGGCCAATTCAGATGGGAAAAATATACTCCACATTTTTTGCGATGCTTCAAAATTGGCATATGGGGCAGTCGCTTGCCTTCAATGTAATAGTGTTATTTCTCTTGTTATGTCTAAGGGTAAAGTGCCTACAATTAAATCACGTACCTTACCTCAGTTGGAATTAACAGCCATTTATGTAGGTGTCAAATTAGCTAATTATATAAGAAATAAGATGCAGGAGATAAATATTAGTGACACTGTAATTTGGTCTGATAATGAGGTGTCCTTACAATGAATTCATAATGTGAACAGTAAAAACTGTGTAGTACAAAACAGCGTCGTTGAAATTTAAACAGATACAAGAGAATATAATAGTTTGGGTCAGGGATATGCTAACATTTAATCGTATACCTGGTGAGGAGAATCCAGCTGATTTCTTGTCTCGAGGTTTACCTTTTGCTGCATTCATAAATGCTGTATCATGGTTTAAAGGACCGAGTTGGTTGGTAAATAAAGTTAATTGGCCTGTACAAAAGGCGTATATTGCTCCTGTTGAAATTAGTGTGACCACCACTCCAATAGTTTGTCCATCCTTAGCCACTGATATAAATAGGTATTCTTCTTTGCCCAAACTAATCAATGTAACTAAGTTGGTGTTTAAATTTCTAAACAAAATGAATATCTTACATAAATTTTCACATCCTCTTGAATATTGGATACAGAGGGTACAGGAAGAAATCTACGGAAATGAGATTAAAGTAATGATGGAAAAAAATTGTGAAAGGTTCCATAATAGAGAAATTGGGTCTGTATTTAGAGAATAATGTAATTAGGTGCAGAGGTAGGTTAGAAAATGCTGAATTGGGTGATTATGCTAAACACTCTATCTTACTGCCCAAAGATCATCATCTAACACTTTTGATAGTTCTAAATGCCCATAAAAATGTAATGCATGGTGGGGTACATGATACCTTAAACTGTATTAGGGAAACTTTCTGGATTCTACAAGGACGGCAAAGTGTAAAAAGGGTTATTAAAACTTGTGTAATATGTCGCCGTGTGGATGCCAGATCCTATATGTACCCAGGTCCTCCACCATTGTCAAAGGAGCGTGTACAATTAGTGAAACCATTTGACATAACAGGTGTAGACTATAGTGGTCCAATCATTTTAACAGGTACTTCAGATGGTGTTCCACTGAAAGTGTATGTATGCTTGTTTACTTGTACTGCTACTAGGGCAGTTCATTTAGAAGTGGCACAGGACTTGTCTGCAGAACAGTTTATACAGCTGTTTCAAAAGTTTGCAGCTAGGAGATCCTGTCCAAAATTGATGATTGTGGATAATGCCACCAATTTTGCAGTGGGTGCTCAACACTTGATAGAATTAAATATAAGTAACGATGTTCAATCTTTCTTAACCCAGCGAGGGTGTACCTGGAAATTTATTACTCCTAGAACCCATTGGCAGGGGAGGGGTGTACGAAAGACTGATAGGCACAGTGTAGAGGTGTCTGTGTAAAGTACTACACAGGAAGAGAATTAATCTGGAGGAATTCTATGCAGTGTTGGTGGAGGAGGAGAATCGGATAAATAATCGGCCTCTCTCATACATGAGTGATACACCTGATACAGATGCATTAACACCTTCTCACCTAATATGTGGAAGGACACTGTAAGCTGCCTCTGTCTATAGAAATAATCCTGAAGAAAATGATGAAGATTACACTGATGTGGTAGGCTTGAGTGATAAATTTTAAATGTTAAATAAAGTAATTAAGAACATAAGAACATAAGAAAGGAGGAACACTGCAGGAGGCCTGCTGGCCCATACTAGGCAGGTCCTTTACAATTCATCTCACTAACAAAACATTTGCCCAATCCAATTT